CAAATTGGAATATTATTTCTTATTAATACATAAAGAAATAAAATTAATTAAAAATGGATATTCACAATGTGCAATCCCAATCACAACTGCCATATTTCCCCTCCCCCCACTATTATGAAGTCATCAAGAGCAGATAAACATATAATGCATTACAGTAGCACAAAGGAGAATTTAATGGACCAAGGATAACATATATTAATTTCCACATCCAGGTTTGAATAACATGCTAGAATGTAGCCTAAATGAATGTACCAAGTGCAAATCATAATTTCAAAATGTTGGAGGTTAGAGTTCAGATATATTATTCCTAAACAGTATGGAACTTCAGAAACATGAGAAAATTTATAAAGGATAAATTGCTCCATGCATTTATTCATCTATCAACTCATTTGGATCAAAATAGAGGCTCAAGGTTCATTATGAGCAGTGGTTGCTCAGTCATTTATGTGAATCAAACAGTCACCTCGGACACCAAGCTGAGTGCCAAATCTCGAATAAAAAATATAAAAAAGAGAGTCTATCCGTCTGCCTGCCTGCCTGCCTGCCTGCCTGCCTGTCTGTCTGTCTGTTGAATGTAGGTGCTAATTGTGTGTATGACCTACAGTGTCAATTATTAGTAGCTGGTTTAGGATTGCCCATGATTCTCAGTGAGACAAATTTCAGAAATACACATGGCAATCAAATCCCTTTGTAATAATTTGTTAAAATTTTCTCTCTCTTCACCCACAGAAGCCTCGTATCATATAATATATATGGCCCCCAAATGCTCAGTTAACTTGATTGCTAGAACTGAAAGAAGAGGTGGAAATATAATCAGGGAACAAAACGCACACTTTGATTGCAAGCTGATCATCCAGTTTAATAGTACCTTTATTTGTGTCTGTTTTGACTACAACCACAAATCGTTACCTTGAGTTTTAGACAGAGGAAAATGATGGAGAGATACTCTGAAGGGGAAAAATGTTCAGGACTGAAAGAAATAATTTATAGGTAGGGTAGGGTGCTGTAAAAATAAAATCAGGTTTTCTACTGAGCGATTGATTCAATTTTGGAAACTGAGAACAATATATTTCTACACAAAAACAGTATTTTTGTGATAATAAAATGGTGAGGTAGACTATATATCAGGCTTAAAAAAATAGAAAAACTGAAATAAACATAAGAAATGTCAGGGACAGGATACAGCTAAGCTAGCGATAAACTGGTGTCAGCTTTCAGCCAGCGGCTTGGATAGAGATTTAAAAGCTTCCCCTTCACATCCAGCTTCTGTTAGGCATTGAAGATATCGTTATAAGATAAAGATGGATTTGCGAGCAAAATTTTATGCACTGGTAATCATAATTTGATGTCAAAAAGGTAGAACTTTGTGTGCTGAATATATATTATTTTTAATTTTGACTGTTTCACCTGGATCCAGGAAGAGGAAAAAGTTCTCATTGGTGTTAATTATGTTTCTGGCATTTGAAATTTTCACAGGCATGACCTCCAATCTGATACTTGCCTTACATTTTTAAAAAAATGAAATTTGCCTTCATTTAAAACAAAAGCTGAGACTTTCTCCGGCCACTTGACTCTGTAACCAATGAAGCTTTTTCAGTTTATAAGTAGTAAACAGAATTTAAACATCTCATCCTCAGGGAAGCTATTTAGTGGATTTAATTCAGGGTTTGCAACAGACCTCAAACTCCACAATTGGTAAGGAAGCAATATCTTCCTGGTAAAAAAACAAATGCCATTTATAAATGTTAAATATAGTTAGATAACTATAATGATAGTTATTCCATAGCAAAGTTTCCCAACCCCAGCCACTTTAAAATGTGTGGACTTCAACTCCCAGCATTCCCTGGGAGAATGCTGAGAGTTCATGTCCACACTTTAAGGTTGCTGAAGATGAGAAACAGTGTTCTATGGAATACATTGTCGAATGTCTTTAAAAAGTAAGTACGTGTTGCCAACTTCTGCAATAATATCAGGCCTAAAACAATAAAGTAGATGACTTTATTGTTTTCAGCTCAGAGATATCTGATCCAAAATTCTGGTGTATTTTATGCAGTCACAATTGCTGATATATTTGTTTGTTTGACCAAAGCAGACCAAAGCAGAATTTATGAAAGTAGGTAAGATTTATTTTTTAAAAAAATACTTTTTAATTGATATAAAAACAGACGGGAATAAAAAAATAGATGGCAGAGCAATGTATTCTCACTAAGCAAAGAACTGCTGCTGTAATGTTTAAGTTGGCTTGACTGGAAACAGAATTAAAAATTACAAATAAATTCTAAAAAGTGTAATAATGGAGGGGCAAAATGGCATTCAGATTGAGATCCAGGAATACAATTAATATTTTTCAGTGCCAGGTTTTGATAGAAATTCATTTATTTAACCTGATTTCACAGCAGTCTTATTCACTGCTTCCAATTCTCTATCAACTACATGGTTCACAAGATGAAATGGATTTGGTTTAATCATGAATCAGTTAAGGTATTGTGTTTTTAACCTAGCCTAAAAACCTAAAATGTTAATATTATTATTGTTTAGATTTAAATTGTAATGACTATAATTTATTAATTTTTAGGTTTAACAATAATATCTCCTTTTAAGATAGGTATGTAATGTTGTTACCTACAGTATATTTACAATAGTTTGAAAACTTACTCAATAAAATCTTTACTACTTAGTCAATTAATTGAACAAGTCAACCAAGTGATCAATCAAAAGCCAACATCTTGAAATTGTGAGATACTACAGCTCTTGTTCACTGAATGCAATATCTGTTAAAGTTCATTAATATATTTCTTATTATGAACTAGAATCAGCTATTCTATCAGATAGAAAGCTTTAGGATTTTTAAAAAGATACTAATAAATAATTAAACATGTTCTGTTTTTGTTTCTAAAATACTTAAGCTTATGTCTATATTTCCTCTGCACACCTTGTTCAAAGTTTTGGAATGGACATGCATTAGGTAGAATGAATAATAAAACATTCATTTATTTATTTACAATATTTCTTTTCATTCAGAAATATTAAAAAAATGGGTTTCCAATGGATACAATGAATATAATTAAAACATGGTAAAATGATAAAAACCGTCTGTTTAATTTTTTTTTTAAAAGCAATAATTTAGGAAGCTGATCAAAGCAAGAGAAGTCCTCAATAGGGATAGAATATAGAGAAGGTACCAAAATTTTTGGATTAGCAATAGAGGTGATCTACAAAATATAAGGAATCTTTATGAGCCCGGGAGACATAATTATGACATTTTTATGATATTTGAGCATGAAAGCATGCAGGGGAGATAATATATGTGGATTAACAAAGGAAATATTAAGTGAACAAATATGTTGAGATCTTCAGTTTTGTTTGCAGCTGAGCAAAAGTGCAGATTGTGAGATATTTGAATATGAATGAGAAGAAATTCTCTCTTTTACTCTTTCTCATCTATCTATATTTAAGTCAAGTTTCAAAGAAATGCATGAGTGAAATAAAAGAGTGTTAGAGGTATTGAAAACAGAAAGGAGAAAAGAATTCTAATAAGCCTCTAGTTGCCATCAACTCTGAATATCCACACGGGGAGAAATTTCTTATTCCCAGTTCTGTGTGATTTCATTACTGCCTTCCATTACTTGTGTAGCACACATAACTAAAATAGAAATGTTAGAATGTTGTTATTACTTTGCTTTTGAGAAATTTGGGGATAAAAGTGAATCACTTTGTAACTGCATCTAAGTAGTAAGCAATTCTCCAACAGGGCCAAACCTTAAGCTTTTTGAGTCATTTTACTTTGAATAATTGTAACTGAAAATTGTCTGTGGAATTTTTTTATTGACAAGCTAAGTCATTTATAATTTATCCACATCAGAACTGTGCTCCCTCAAAATATTGCATCTATGTGCTGTGTAATAAATCATAGGGTTTTGGAAGACAGCTTTCTTAAAAGGCACAAAAGTGATGCACAACAAATCTCAAAATAATAAAAGGTTAGTGGGAAAAGCACAAAAGCAGTAGAACACCAAGAGCAATTTAAAAAGACATGCTAAAAAGATCTTTCAAAGATAGAAGCCAGACTTTTCAGTTTAAAACCAGGTTGTAGTCCTCCCTTTCTTCCTTGTTTAAATTGGAAATATAACTTGTGAGCTTACTTTCTGCTCCACAGTCTCTGTTTATATTCAAGGTAAACTGGATAAAAATTGGTTAGAAATGGCCTCTTCATGTGACAGATGGAAAGGGCTTATAAATAAGTCGGAAGTCCCAAAGGTGTTTTTTCAAGAGGCAACTGGACTTTCTTGTTTTTTAAAGACATTTCGCTTCTCATCCAAGCAGCTCCTTCAACTCTGACTGAAGCTTCTTGGATGAGAAGCAAAATGTCTTCCAAGAAAACCAAGAAAGTCTGGTTGCCTCTTGAAAGATCACCTTTGAGACAACCATGACCTGGATGACTGATAATCTCCATAGACAAATAAGTAGGAAGTTAATCCTTTCAGAGCCACTTTGGACAAAGCTGTACTCCTTGACAAGCAAAGAGGGGAGGATGAAGCAATAAAATGGCTATAAAATCACTTTTCTGCCAAAGGAGACATAGCATTGGCATATTGACTCATAGAAAGCGTTATTAATATCTGGGCATTTGTCTAATATTCACATTTTTCAGCATGCACTTCCCTCCTTTTCCCCATTTAATGGATTTTTAAGTGTCTTGGATTATACCATGGGAAGGGAAATTCAAATGGACCAGTTTAGGATTTTCCTGGCAAATTAGTAATCCTGTCAACATTGCTGTATATTGCCTTTACCTGCAGTTGCAATTTAAAACACACACACACACACACACACACACACACACACACACACACACACATAAAGATGTTTAAAAGAAAAGACAAACAGTGAAAATTGGATGAGCAGGGTATTTTTTTTCTGGGCTGTGATCAATTTTCCAGCCTCTAGCATATGGTGGTGCTAGTACTTTATTTTTCAGCCATGACATGTCTTCATTTTCCTGTTGTATCAGCCTCCTGGTAGCTGCCAGCAAGCAGATCTCATCAGAGCTGAAAATACAAGCACACGTGTGGCAGGAATCACTCAATGGGAGAGACATTTTAATATCTCATGCTTCTGCTTTTCTTTCAACATGAGAAGACTGGTTGCAATTCAGACGATCCTGTCAAAGTAGGTAACTGTTTTCTTTCCCGGTAGGATGTTTGCTGTATTTGTACATTTTCTGAAAAACAACTGGCTATAACTTAAGTTCACCCCAGGAATTGTCTGTCTAATTTTCAGTTATTCCTTTTCCGTAAGGGCTGCAGGCAGGTTCCGCCCTTCTGTCAGTTGTGGTGTTGATTTTGGGAAGGTTTTTCTCCTGCTATGGAAAACAGACTCCTGGAATAGTACTCACTGGAAATATGGGGGGGGTACTTCCTTTTCCACGGGAGGGAATAACAGTTTGGTCTTAGTGGTGTTAGAACTCTACTAACATGCTCTCTTATGAAACTCACCTCAGGGAAATGATACATTGAACCTCTCTTTTCAGTTATTTATGAATGAACACAGAACTAAGTCCACTGCTTTGGTGTTTAAGTATTATGCAACTTTGAAACCATGTGCACATGTAAAGCTGCCTTTAAACAGAAAAGACCATTAAGTTGCTCTTCACTTTAGCAAGTAAAGCAGGTGCGTGGAAAGAAAATGTAGCAAATTAGCAAGCCAACAGGCTCCAACTTGAGACAACTTTTTTTTTCTTTTAAAAAATAATCTTATTGAGAAACAACTCTGACATCGGCCAACACGGCATTGCAAAAAAAATTTTTTCATCTGCCAGCTCCCAAATTGACTTGAACCTAGTGAGTTTGAAGTTGTTTGATGGAGGCAGTCATATATGGCATTAATTTATGATTTGTTTTAAGCATATTTTCTTGAATGAGCTCAGTGACCCAGTTCATAAATTAGAGGAAAACATAAAAACTTCAGTTTACTAGCCATAATGGCTGGGTCCACACAACTCCGCTAAGCCAAAATCAAACTCACCACATAATGCCTCAATAGATAGGTTCATTGTTGTCTTAATTGCTTGACAACCAAATGGTTTCCTGGAATAAGTATTCAGACTAAATGATTAGTTGGAAATGTGTTTACTGACATAATATCACATCATAAAACACCTTTTAAGTTGTATGCAGAACATTTAAATGTTGGAATGGATGTCTTCTAAGAACTTGGGAAGGAAGCAGATTATATTTCTTTGTGGTAAACTCAAGAAATTTAGTGGAACCATCTCCTGATTAGACAATACATTGTAAATCATTAAGGCAAAAAGAAATTGCCAAGGGAATAATGATAAAATCTCTTAAAACTTTAGGGAAAACATGGAATGTAATAGAATCTGTGTTAATTTAGTTTCTTTAAAACTCACTTTATTTCTATAAGGTTGAAATATGGTACAGACTCAATTATATTTGTAAAGATTATCAAGTATCTGTCTATCATTTCCCTAGGCAGTACTTAATTAAATGGGTACAGACAGAGTCAGTTTTTATCACATGTTGGTTTAGCTTGGCAATCTCTGAAGTGTTCAGAAAATTCTGCTGCAATGGCTGGTCAAACTTATGGTTTTATCTATCTCTCATTTTGCACGGCCTAGTAAAGAGTTAACATTTTATTTATTTATATTTATTTATTCATTTTTTATGCGTCCCATTTTCCCTATAAGGTGACTCTGGGCGGCTTAATAGAAATTCTATGAAAATATACTCACCTCCAAGGTATCCTAGCATAATTAGGCTCATTTATTTATTTACTAAATTTATATATTAGTTCATTTGCAGGGACTCTAAGCAACATAGGAGAGCAATGGGAAGGCCATTTTTGTGCAAATTGCATTGTGCAATTTGTTATTCAAATTGAATATATTTTTCCTTTTTTGTAAATAGCACTATACCTAGTTGGACTATGCATACACTAAGCTAGTTTGTTTTAACCATTGTGCATTGAAAAAAAAGATTAATTGGTGGGTTTAAACATTACCTAAAACTATATAAACCCAAGTTTCTAAGACACTATGTTGGGTATTGCACAACAAGCTAAGCTATAACTAAACACATCACATTATATTTTGGTATTATATATGGCTACTCATTTTCTCCTCCAGTTGACAATGGTTTACGATGATTGCGGTGTCCCAGGGTCATTTGTTACCTTCTCCATTGGCTTCTCACAAGCAAAGTAAATGGGAGAAGCCAGATTCACTTAACAACCACAAGATTAATTTAACAGCTGCAGTGATTTGTTTAACAACTGGCAAACAAAAAAACGGTCGTAAAATCGAATGTGACTCAACCATCATCATTTTTTAGCAAAGGAAATTCTGATCCCAGTTGTAGTCATAAGTTGAAGACCACCTATAATAGATTTTTGAGAGCCAGTTTAGTGTAGTGCAGAGATTCGCAAACATTTTGGTCTCAGAAACCCTTGACATTCCTGTGATTAGATGTTAATGCCTTTATTTTACTGCAACAGAGAGAGTTGGAAGTCAATGTTTCTTTTTCTTTTTTTCCTTATCCTTCCTCACTTCTCTTCCCCCTTTTCCTCCCCACTGCTTTTCTATTTACTTTTGTATTTTACAATATTTTATAACTCAATAAAACATTAAACTAAAAAAAAAAAGAACCCCTTTACATTCCTAAAAATGACTAAGGACCCAAAGCGCTTTGGTTTATGTGGATTATGTCTATCAATATGTATTGTATTAAGAATTAATTATTAAGAAAAATGTTAAAATATGTATTGGCTTCTAGGCCCCACTTTGATAACCACTTGGATAAAAGCACCAGACTATAAATTGAGAAATGGTGAGTTTTATTCCTGCCATGAGCACGAAGCTATTAGGTGACTTTCTCTCTCAGCCCTAGAAAGAAGGTAATGGACAGGCATTTCTGAAAATGTTGCCAAGAAAATTCCAGGGATTCTCCAGGCAGTCAAAAGATTGACCCAAGAACACTTTTTAAATATATATATATATATATGCATTTTTAGTTGTCTTTAGTTATCAGTGCTTCAGTGCCTAAAATGCAGAAATGATTTAAGATGCAAGTTACACACTCAGCACAAATGTACAAAGAAGTTCCTCTGAGATTGTAGCTCTGGTAGATTGCATGCTTTCTGCTTCTACTGGCGTAAAGAAAATAAAAGATCAGATATGCTTTAGCACGTCTTTTCCCCCTGACTTGTTAGCTGTCTCTATGCAGGATTTTTTTTAATGTATAAAACATTTATGTGAATTGCTACTGACAATGTGTAATAATCATCTATAGTCAGTCGCAATACAACCTTTTACTGCAGGTTCTTCTTTTTCGGGAAGTATAGACTGTTTAAGGATCTAGAAATGGGAAAACAGCCATTTGTCTGTTTTAAAACCATTGTAATGAACTTGATTGTCCACCAGATCCATAGTACTCAGATTTGATTTGATGTTTTAGGTATTCAGATAGTACTTAAAGCTTCTGAAATATTTGTAGGATTCTGTACCTTCACCCTCAGAGACCATTATGAAGATTATGGAATGAAATGGATTCTGCCCATCATTAGTCTTACTTCAGATTAGTGATGGACAATCTTGCCAATTTTTATTTTTGGAAACCAAAGATGGTTTCATCTTTGAAGTCTTATAATAATTTAATAATATGCATTTCATACCCATCTTTTCCTATTACACTTTTTGTTTGCATAAGGAACTGCGGTGTAATGCCTGATAGACAAAATATATTGATAAGTTCCCATCAAAATATGAATCAACCAGAGTTTTCCTCTATCCCTCATTTATTTTATCAAATGTATACCTATTGTAATCAAGCTGATTCTCTGAGTTAATTAAGAGCAACCATAAAAAAATGAAAGCAGCTGGTATTAAAACGTCTATCGTAGGATTAAATAGCATATCAGATTATGAAACCACGAACATAAAATAGTATCTAACAATCCTGGATAGTAATACCTGCTATAGACCCTCTGCAATAATTCAGATTTCGAAAGTTTCCAAAAGGCAGAAACTACAGGGATCAACCTGATTTCTAAGGTGAGACCTTTCCATAACGAGGTATTGCCATTGAAAAAGCCTCCATCCCACATATTTCCTAGAATTAGGAAGGTTTTTCAAACTGCTACCTTTGTGTGATGGCATCCTAAGAACTAGCTGGAAAAAAAATATCTCTCAGATATATCAAATGGGTCTATTTTACATAGGTAAGCTCTCTGAGAATTCAGGCTGTCATCTCAAAAGAAGATTTTGAGCGTGCACTTTGAATACACAGCTTAGTGGCATTAGAATAGTATCTACCACTATCATTCGAGCAAGTTGGCTATGTTCTGCAGTGTTTTGAAATTATGTTTACTTAAAGTAACAATGCCAAAAAGAAATCAGTATATGCTCCATCACTTATAGAAAAGTCTTTGACTGTGTTGATCATGTCAAGCTGTGGAAAGTGCTCAGACCAATGGGAATCCTCGAACATTTCATTATCCTCACGAGAAGCTTGCATGCATGTCAGGAAGTCACAGTCAGGCCAGAATATGGTGAAATAGACTGGTTCCAGATTGCCAAAGGAGTGCAACAAGGCTGCATATTCTCCCCTTATTTATTCAACCTGTGTGCTGTTAAGGGAAGTTAGATTGGAAGAAGATAAACATGGTTTTCAGGCAGTTCAAATGGGTATAAAGATTTATTGCAAGCTTAAGCTCTCTACAAGAATCTGAACTACTAACAGCCCAAGCAAATTGGCGGTAGATAAGAGTCACAGGAATTCAAGGTGGGCTGGATTTAGCTGTCTTGTGGGCAAGAAGGGACTCATGACTGATGACATTTTTGACCCCTCCCTCAGGCTCAGCCTGGTCATCTCCTACAAAAACTAGAGGAATAAACATCAATAATCTGTGATATGCTGATGACTACCCTGATAAGCTGAAAATGTAAAGTATCTGCAAGCCCTAGTACTAAAACTAAAAGAGCTCAGTGAAAAAATGGGACTAAAATTTACTAGAACTCAGTAGAATGCAGCCACAAAGGCTTTGGAATTGGTATTCAAATGCTGTGATGCGTCTATACCTACAAAGTTCAGAAACATGCAAGTCATGGTATTCTCTGTGACACTCCATGAAAGTTAAAATTGAACTTTAAGAAGCAGTTATGAACTTTGGTGTGGGAGAAGACTCCTGAGAATACTGTAGACAGCCAAGAAAACAAATTGTTGGATCATTGAACAACTCAATCCCCAGTTCTTTCTTGAGACACAGGTTACCAGGAGAAGGTTTCCTATTTAGGACACATTGCAGAAAGATCCAGTTCTCTGTTGAAAGCTTTAATGTGGTTGCTAGGAATTGAAAATGACTTAATAACCAGTTAATTAAATAATCAAAATACTTAACAATCAACAGCAAAAAATGATTATACTTCTCATAAGAAGTTTTTTTCCCCAAGGCCTAAACCTGAGAACTATCACCTTCTAGCAATGATTAAAATACTGTTGCAGGCTTTACCTCAGTGTTTGTGTTTTGTTTGTATATTCTGCATGTGGTAGGATGTAGTATCACTGGTTCTGCAGGTTTCATACAGGAATAAAGCAGTTTCCCCAGGCAGAAAGCAAAGTGGTAAACTATGACGCTCATGATTTATTTCTTTGTGTTGCCATGCTGATATATAGAAAGGCACAACTGAAATGTATGCATATACTGTATGAAGTTGTGCCTTCCCGAAGAGCCTACTGAAAAAAAAGCTGTAATGGTATATAAAAAGCCACTTTGGTGTAGTGGTTACAATGTCCTAGAAAGCAGGAGACTGTGAGTTCTAGACCCACATTAAGCATGAAAGTTGGTTGGGTGATCATGGGCCAGTCATTCTCTCTCTCAGCCCAACTTACCTCACAGGGTTGTTGCTGTGGGGAAAATGGGAGAAGGAAGAAATATTGGTATGTTTGCCCCCTTGAGTTGTACATGAAAAAAGGCAGCATTTTTAAAAAATGACCTTGGGGGACAGAAGGAAAAGCTGTAGCCTAGACCAGAGGTCTTAGCAGCTTTAAGTCTCAGCTCCTTCTCCTGGGCGATTCGCAGGTAGCAAGAAAATACAACGGGACACATGCAGAGTCCTCAGTGAAGCTGGTTTAATGCTTAGCAGGAACTCCGGAACAACGCTGAGCACTATAGCAGTTTAAAGTTGGCGCTACGAACAGTTGCTACGTAGTGCCCTTTATACATTTGCTCCACCCTTCCCTTATTACCAGCCGGATAGCATTCAGCTGTGACATGCAGTCATGCAGGCCTCTTTTCCGGGTATCTCGTTAATGCCCCCCCCTCACCGTTCCCTAGCCCGACGCCCGGGCTGCCTATTCCCGGTGCCACCATCACCATTTGTGAGTTTTCTGTGTTCAGCATCTGGGTGCAGTCCTGCGTCCTTGTTTGTTCGGTTTGCTGAGCACAGTCTTGAGGTATCAGGTACGTGTGCATGTTCTCTTTCTCCTCCTCCCCATCCCATTATTGTCGAGCGGAGGCTTGGGCTCGACATTAAGACTTGTGGACTTCAGCTCCCAGAATTCTTCACCCAGCTCTGCTATGCTGGCTAGAGAATTCTGGGAGTTGAAGTCCACAAGTCTTAAAGCTGCCAAGTTTGAAGACCTCTGGCCTAGACAACGCTCTTATAAACAAAATCTGAGTTAGAAGGAGTAGTGGGGGTAGAAATATTTCAGAAGGGTTTGGTGGAAAGTAAAAGCAAGGGAAGGAAGATGTACTTTCATACACGCAAGATTCTGTTACTGTCATCTTAAATTAAGTGTTGTATACATCATTAGTTCTATTTGTCTGGGCCACCTCAATGGGCTGGCAGAAATGTGAACTGGGCATATTTTTGAGAACACTTTATGTGAAAAAATCTTACCTTTCTTCTGTTCACACTTTTTCAGAAATACATTTTAGGATATCAGAGATGTTATCTCAGGATAGATAACTGCTAGTATTAAAAGTGACACGACAAGTGCCCAGTACAGAGGCTTAAGTTGTATTATCAGTTATATTTTGAGCAAGGTCACTATTTTTTAGGGGAACAGATGTCCCACGTTCAGCTTAGGGACTTGAACTGATCTCAGAAGAAGCAAAGCAGAGTTGGATCTGCTTTGTACATGGATAGCAGACCATCGGGGCAAATAAGTTGGAAGGTGTAAAATAATTCTTTATTGGCCAAGTATGATTGGACACACAAGAAATTTGTCTTGGTGCGTACGCTCTCAGTGTACATAAAAGAAAAGATACATTCGTCAAGAATCATAAGGTACAACACTTAATGATAGTCATAGGGAACAAATAAGCAATCGAATCATGTTAGGAAACAGTCAATATAAATCGTAAGGATACCAGCAACAAGGTTACAGTCATACAGTCATAAGTGGGAGGAGATGGGTGATAGGAATGATGAGAAGATTAATAGTAATGCAGACTTAATAACCAGTTTGATGGTGCTGAGGGAATTATTTGTTTAGCAGAGTGATGGCATTCAGGAAAAAACTGTTCTTGTGTCTAGTTGTTCTGGTGTGCAGTGCTCTATAGCGTCATTTTGAGCGTAGGAGTTGAAGCAGTTTATGTCCAGGATGCAAGGGGTCTGTAAATATTTTCACAGCTCTCTTTTTGACTCGTGCAGTATACAGGTCCTCAATGGAAGGCAGGTTGGCAGTAAAATAAAATAAAATAAAATCCAGAAAAGGCAAAGGCAAGCCCCTTCCTATTATTGCCAAAGACTATTACATGACCATGTGAATGAAGTCTCTAGGAGTCAAGTCACATGAGAGAATAATTGGGTTTTTTTGAGGGAGGAGTAAGAGACAATAAATAAACTCCTTCAGGGTTTAACAAAGCTTCCAGATATACAGGGAAGCTTTCTGCAACGTAAGGCATTCTCCATTGGCTATGCGATTCCAAAGCTTGGGAAGGCCAGGGCTTCAATTTGCTTGGAGGGCCTCTGTGAATAGAAGAGATCCTCTATTGCAAACCGGTGTCTCCTGCATGAAAAATGAATCAGAAAGGCAGTATTGCCTCCATTTTCCTTGATTTTCCTTCAATTTACACATGGATTTATTGAAATGCTTCCAATAGATGCACATTATTATTAGCCCTGGAAATTGACACCTAGTTAATAGGCAAGAAATCAGAGACTACATACTGAGTGAACTTATGGAGCCTTAGAAACCACACGTAAGCGTTAATTTTAACTTGTTCTTACTCAGCTGAGAAAAAGAATCAATAAGGAGAACATTTGTAGCTCAGGGTTGAAATGAGAGGTCCTTGGTGCTCCCTGAACCTCGTTGTTTTCTTGCAGACATTTCATTACCCGAATTAGGTAACCTCATGATGATGTTACCTAGTTTGGGTAATGAAAGCAAAAACAATGAAGCTCAGGGAGCACCAAGGATTGACTGCTCATGAGAAAAAGAATCCTTTTGCAGGTTGGATGTAATTATTTGTACATCCATAGAGGAAGGAATCTTTGCCAAATCTATCGTTTTCCATACCTAATCTGACAGGTTCTTTTTAAAACACTCATTCTAAGCAAATAAATACACCCAATGTTTATATATAAAGTCAGTACCATTCAATAGGGCAATTAGGATTATGGGAATTATAATCCAAATGCATCTGGAGGGAGCCAGATTTGGAAAGGCCTCACTGAGAAACTCTAACAGAGAAGTAATAAACATGGACTGTCTGCTGGCACACATTATGTATGACTAACGCTATATTGACACAATCAGTGCACATGATCTCTTTGCACATTGACCTGTTTCAGCTTTTTGAAAATGTAATTCTGAAGATTCTGGAATCTGAGCCAAATCTCCTCGTGGCTCTGTAGAGCTAATCCTCAACGTAGAAAAGAAAACTTTAGTATGCAAGAACTTTGATATCAAGAATCTTTTTTTTCCAGATACTTTAGAACTGTTGGAATATGTGGCCTGATTAAACAATTGTTACTCTGAGTTTTATGATAAATGCATTATCACCATCATCTCATATGTTTCAGGAATGTTCAGAAAATAATCCTTCAGTTTTCTAAATGCAATAGAATAGCTATGCAGAGCTGAATAGATATACCATGATCACTGTGTTGCTATTCCAGATCAGTCAATTGTAGAATCTTGTCAATAGATGCAAGGAGAGCAGTGATTAAAATTTTGAACTGGAACTGGGGAAAGTTCAAGTTCAGTTGTTCACTTCACCATGGAGCTGATTGACTTTGAGTCAATTTTTATATTTCAGCACAACTCGCTTCACAAGACTGTTGTTGTAAAGAAGAAATTTAGAGAAGACTTTCATGTATGTCACCTTAAGCTCCCAAAGGAATAGGAATAGTCAGATAAAAGATAGGTAAGTAAATAAGTTTTATATTTGTCTTCCAACATCTGCTGTTGTTTAAATGTAAGGGAAAACCAAACTGGCAGGCTCAGAACAGACAACGAGTACACTGGGTTCACTGAAGAAAATGACCAGCATATTTGTTGAAACAATTGTGACCAGGTTACCCTCATCTATCTATACTCCATGAACGTTTTAAGGTAATTAGTGACAGATTTTTGATGTTGGTCTACCAGTTCATCTTCCTGGGAGTTCTGCCTGGCTTATATTCCCATTGATCATCATTCTTAGTGCAAGAATGCAAGAGGATGGCTTGTAGACAAAGAATACTATGTAGTCAAACTATTACTTCTATAATGACCTGTCAGGCTTGAAGTGCCACAATATTGTATCTCTATCTTTCTGTTGGTGTTCTTCCTTTCACTTCTCCCAATGGGAGGCAAATTATTTCCCCTTATAGTTCAGATCAGTCTAAGATAATGTGATAGGTCAGGAAAATGTGTTGAGTTTGATCCAAAAGATCCCCTGTTAGACTCCCAAGAAAGGAGTTTCTTGACCGGGTCCTTTTTGCTGCTTTTTGGATGATGCCATCAAGGTCAGACTTCTTCTCAGTCTATAGACTTCCCTAGACACCACCAGAATATATTCTTGATTGTTTGGTAGATTGGTTGATTTGTAAGCAAAGCAGTTCTAACTCTGATGTAGAAGCAATGGTGGGTTTCTTCAGTTCGCCCCAGTTCAGGCAAACCGGTAGTGGCGGCGGCGGGAGGCTCCGCCCACCCACCCGGACGTCATCATGGATGCTCTCTGCATGCACAGAAGCGTCGCATACATGCACGTGCTCACAGTTCTGAACTGGTAGCGAAGGTAAGTGGAACCTACTACTGTGTAGAAGGTACACTTCATCACCAGCTGATTTGCTAGTTGCATCTGTCAGGATGGAAACGGGGATGTAATCCCAAATGATTGTAGTAGCTTTCTTTAGAGTTAATTTTGAAAACAACAACAACACAGCACACAATCTTTCCCTCCTTTTACAAACAACAGGAGGGAAAATTGCCAGACTTTGTTGATCTAAATCATGAAATCTGGGAGTTGATTTATGATTCATCAATCCTTGAATTCTATTTATTCACATATGCTAGTCCTAGGTATACTCCTTTCTGAGGTTAAGATTTTAAAAATGCAGAAAGAACTTGTCTCCCAATGGGGATTTGACATTATTTCTCTGCTTCTACTTTGAGACTGTATAGCGTCTACAACTGAAATCATTAGCCTAGTACTTAAGATGCTAGCATGTCTGCAGTAATTTATCTTGATGCTCATCAGGTTCCAGGCAAATCCTGTAATTTTGTTAGAAATAAATATGATGCTCAGATCCTGCTCAGTGCTGCTTAAAGATATGCCTACCTGTGCAGAAAATGGACAAAAATGGGTTAATAAGAAGTATCTGAGAACTTAGAAATATCAACAGGTACAGTAGTATTCTTTTAATCAGTGCTTTTTAACTAGCTATACTCTTCAAGGTAACCTTTTTGTGAAGCCTCCAATAAGTTATTTTATGTGAGTATGGACAATATGTTTGTAAGATTTCAAATCTGCCCATCAGCCCTAAAAGAAAGACAATTGCTGTAGGACGTTGTTTCTGCAATCAAATTACACCCTTAGCTATTTTCCTTCAAAATATTTCATGAGATGTGGATAATTTGGGATTACAATTTTTTTACCTGGCTCTACATGCTAAGTATAATACATTGTATTTCAGCAAGGAAAGAAACATATAACTGGGAATATCTTGATACAACTCAAAACCAAATGAAGTTTCCGTAGCAGGTCATTTGCATTAATTTTTTAGTTATTAGTATTTAGTGAAGAAATATTTGCAGCAAAATAATGAAAATATTGAAAAAGAATAAGCGTTTCTTATAAGCTTTGTTATAAACCACAGATATAAACCTATTGCTGGACAAATATTTTTTTTTTTATGTATGGGTCTCTGCCTCCCTATGTACAGAATCCTGTGGAAGAAAAATTAATCTATTTTTTTTATAAGGGTAAATCTTAATGCTTTTCAAACCAACTATGAGCAAATCATTTTTGGCTTTTTTTTTCTTTCTTTGAGTTGGTGTATTCAATCCAAATATCCAGGAGAGTGAGATTGTATGTCTCCAAAATGAAACATCTGTGATTTAAGCTTGGAAAATTGAAAATCGAAATAGCTAAGTTCTTTAGCTGAATCAACCCAGAGGTAAGAAGGAGTTCAAGAGATTCTTGAAATGCAATTACTAAGTTCAAAAATACTGATTTCAGCTGGACTCATGTAATGAAAATCTGCTCTCATGGATGACTTGCTCATAAAAGATTCTAACTAAATATCCCTGAGAGAGAATTTTAGACCACATTTAATGGCACAGCATTAGGGATATTTTTTTTTAAAAAAAACCCCAAATAGAACGTACAGTCTATTGCAATATACTACAGGTAGCCTTCAATTTATAACCTTTCATTTAATGAAGTTACAACAATACTGAAAAAATGGACTTATGACCAGTTTTCACATTTATGACCATTTCAGTCACGTGATCAAACTTTGGGTGCTTGGCAACTGGCATGTATTTAAGATAGTTGCAGCATTCCTGGGTGCTGGGTCCTGGGATTGTAATTTGCCAACCTTGTAATTTGTAATTTTCAAACCTTCTTAGGGAACCTCTGACAAGCAAAGTCAATGGGGGTAGCCAGATTTGCTTTTAATGACTACACAATTCCCTTAAGTGATTCTCTTAACCCTGGCAAAAATGGTCAGAAATGGGGCACAACTCATTTAACAACTGTCTTGCTTAGCAACATAAATTTTGGGCTCAATTGGGATTGTAAATCAAGGACTACTGATTTGTTTCATGAAGTCATCTAGAGTTTTAGAAGAATTCTTTTCCAACTGTTGCCCACAAGATGGACAATAATGGGAGCAATCTATTATTTGCTGGGTCCAGGTTAACACTCTATGCTAGCATCTGTAAAGATAAATTTGTAAGAACTGTACAGCTACATAGAACACTTAACCTGATAGTAATGTAATATCTTTCTCTCCTTTCATCTCATAAATTCAAACATATTCCATTTTCTCGGAACAAGTGCAGGTTATGGATGGTGATATATGAATCTCATGGATAAAAGCTGACTTGGGACCAGTTAATTTATTTTGGGGAGATAAAAGAGCCTGTCACATTTAGATTACACTGTTCAGATTTGATAATTCATCAATTGAGTAATGTTTAATATACCTTCCTACCTTGCCAGATGAATACACAATGCAACCTTTCACCACAGTCAGTCTCAGATTGCACGAAACAATTCTGCAAAAGAAAGCGAAAATCTCTTTAATAATATACAGTATATCCGGGATAGATCTGATCATTTACGGTATGATCTATAACCCTGTAAGCTTAACTGTTTGTATTCAAACAGAATGGATTTCTTTTTACTTCAATTAGTTTTCATCTGATTTGCTCAGTTGAACTGATCCAGGATGATATCCTAACTCAGTTTTAGCTGGTAGCATAAAATGAAGCCTGAAGGGTTCAGTCTTCAAAGAGAAAAATCAATGCCACATGAGAGAAAGTATCAAATGGTCAAACAGTTATGAAATTATGCAGTTCATTTCAAGGTAACTAGAGAATTGCTTTCTCAGGATCAAGTTCTGCCTACTACTTTTTAAAAGTCATGCAAACTGAAAGCTCTTGTTTGTATATTATTAATCCAGCTATAGATAATGATATTTGTTTCAGTGTGAATTTACATTGCAGACAGGAGGCAAAGGATGAAAAATATGTTCCTGATAACCCTTACAAGATACAGATCTGGATCAAATCTCCCATGCTGGCAATGCATTCAAAAGCAGAACAACATAGGAATAAAAGAGATCTGCCTTGCCTTGTATAATTTTGTGGATTCCCTGTTGGCTGTTAATCATCTAATTAAACAAAATATGTCCAGCTTCTTTAGTTTTATCCCATAACACTTACTACTTTAATATTTATCATCTTTGAATTTCTTCATTTGTCAATATTTTTTGGGGGTATGTACTGTATCTATGCAGAGGCAAATGCAAGTGTCAACTCGCAAAGCATCCCTGGCCTGCTCTTGAGTTGCCATAGGCAGAGGGGATGGGAAAAGAAACTTTGCAGCCACAGGGAGACAGCACGTCAGTCAAAAAGTACATTCCAGCCATATCTCTGTCAAGGCTGTCTTTGCGGTTACTCACAATGGCCAGAGGGGAGTGATCTCTACAACCTGGGAAATTGCTTCCTTGGAGAATGTGACGAATGACACACCTTGGGGGAATGAGGGAAACAGGGTCAGACCCGGAACGTAAATTAAGTGGGGTCAGAGTTGGCTTCACTTGAAATGTGCGGACATGAAGTTCCTAATAAATAACTGGATTTCTTTTGAAGCTTGGCTTGAGGTTCATGATTTAATTAGGGCATTGGTTGGAACCCTGACAGCAAGTTCCCTTGTTACAGTCCCTGCTTCTTTCTTTTTGTCAATCTTGTTTCACTAGCTGCACGAAGTCTCAGTTAATATTCCTATGTGCATCGAGTTAGAAAGCAAGCAAAGAAATAACCATGAAACATAAAATTTTATTTTCCAATACCTTATTATTTTTCATGTTTTCTTATTATTTGAATTTCAAAATAATGCTCAAAAATGATTTAAAATAGATTTTAATCTAGATAACTTTATATTTTAATAAAACATAATTCATGAAGGAGACTTTTACAGCTGATATCAGATTATAGGAAGGAAGGAAGGAAGGAAGGAAGGAAGGAAGGAAGGAAGGAAGGAAGGAAGGAAGTTGTTATGAATAAACTTAATCTTGGTGTAATGAAGTATTGTGAACATTCTCAGGATTTAATTAAATTCCTTAACTGATTAGGAGAATGTTATAGATATATGAAGGATGAATGAAAAATAACTCTTTGAGATCTTTATTTTAAATAGCAATATTTTAATAAATGAAACAGGAAAATAATTCTTGAAACAAGTCCTATGTACTTCCCCCTGTAATTACCACAATTTGCCACACACCTTTACAATGATGGGCAATCTTCTTGAAGCTTTTATGAAAGAATTTCACGTTTTGTCTCTTTAGCCAGGTCCAGACAATCATTTCCAGCTCTTTATTTGAGTGACATGGACGCTATGAAGATATTCCTTAAAATTTATTTATTTATTTAAATTTACTGATTGCCCTAACTATAGTGGAAAAACAATGGAAGATATGTGGTGCCAAGTATGGATTGTATAATGGGGGTGGTAAGTTGATGAAAGCCAACTTCACAGCTGTCTCTGTCTTGTGATTCTGTTTGTTTCAGTGTTTTGGGTATTGAAATGTAGTACAATGAGTACCTATTGCTTGCTTGCTTGCTTGCTTGATTGTATGGCATATCATACATGGACTAGCATTTCATCTAGATCAATAAAACACAATAAAATGTAAATGTTAAAAAGTTCTATGTTCAAATACCAATGTCTATTGAAGCATAGCATCGTTTATATTAAAAAAAATCAGATACTGGACTGGTAGATACCCTCAGCTTACAGCTGATCATGATGTGATCTATAGTTTGATGTGGTACCCCACAGTCATACCGAGGGAGGATAGTATGCTCCATTCATCCCAGCAGATGCCATGTGGGGTATGAATCCTATTCAGGATTGTACATTGCTGACATTGCTGTCCATATGACACAAAGACTACAGCTTTCCTGCCAAAGTCCACGTTTTGGCTTCTTTTTCCTGCAGGAGAAACTTCATGATGATATAAAAACGAACTTACTTTTCATTTCTGTTTCAAAGTAATGAACCTGTTTTGCTGTTTTGTTTCACAATGCCGTGAAAAATTTCTCACCATCATGCTTGGGTTGTGATAATTGCTGGTAAATTTCAACTCTAGAAATTTTCATTTTTGCCATCAGTATATGAAAAACTCATCTTAGACAAACCTTCTGGTACTGAAGAACATCATATGACCCACATATTATGTGAATATGTGAAATGTCAAGTCTGACAGCACATTCCCTTTGGGTGATCCACCAATTGTCTTTAATAAGTTCATTAACCTTTCTCAAGTGAAACTTGTTAGTTGCTATCAAAGGTCAGTCACTCTTTCTGTTCTTGATAAGACAAATCAGCTCATCCTGGTTCACAGGGGGAGGGGGTGTTGGCCCAGAGATTTTTAGTATTTAGATCAATATAGTTGTTATTATAAACAATCTGCATTTGATAGCAAATTTCAATTGGAGGGCAGTCAAAAATTGAATCACATCACATTGTTTAAAGCACACAGATGAATACTCACTGCAGGTTTCGCTTAGTATAGCTTTTCTCATTATTAACGTCTGGCATGCAACAGAATAGATACTAAAGAACATGTCAGAACTTTTAAGAGCATCATTATTACACCAAAGGCATGTTGGAAGAAATGTCCATCTAGGTTCACTTCCAAGTGGGGAAAAAGACACTGGAAACATGGAGACTGCTTGGAAAGATGGTTTAATGGTGGACAGGAATCACATGGCTTGAGTTTCTGAACAGGAGCACATGGCTTGAGTTCCTGAGCAGAATGACATGGCTTGAGTTCCTGAGTAGAAAAAAGAAGCCCGAGATGCTGGGAGTGCCTTGGTTTTATGCCCTCTGTTGTGCCCCACCTCAGAGTTTCTTGTTCCTGTATAAGAAATGTATCCTGATTGGTTGTGAGATTTCCAGGGGGCAAGGGTCTTAGCTAACCTTGCTGGCTGATGTAATCTTCCCAGGTGCCATGTGGGGAGTTTCTGTTGCTGGATGGGTCCTTTGTGTTGCAGATGATGGTCCATTGACAAAGGTGGGGGGAGGCAGGAAGCTGCTTTGTCTTTAAAACATGTTTCTCCATTTCTCATCCGGGAAAATATAATATTCTGCCTTTTTTAATATTTCCTAAAATATTTTATTCTTCTAGGAGAGGGGTGAGTGCTAACTTCCTACAGGCATTAATCACCCCTCATAATATATTTAATTTCAGTAGCCCATGGTATTTTGATTGATAAGTTAGTTAAGCATAGGTTAGATGGCATGATAAGTGGATCTACAACTGGTTCAAAAATCGTATTCATGATGTTATCATCTGTTCCTCATCAAACTGGAGTATGGGGACAATGGGTCACCACAAAGTTTTTCCAAATTCCTGTACTCTTCAATGTGTTTATTAATTACTTGAATGAAAAGGGAAGTGAAGGATTAACAAATTA